TTTTTTTTTTTTTTTTTTTTTTTTTTTTTTTTTTTTTTTTTTTTTTTTTTTTTTTTTTTTTTTTAGGTGTCGTATGATGGCTATACATTTTTTCTTTATAAGGATTTTGAGGACAGAGCCGGGGTATCTTCACTCTTGCTGCTGCTGCTGCTGCTGCTGCTGCTGCTGTTGCTGCTGTTGCTGCTGCTGCTGCTGCTACTGCTGCTGTAGCTGCAGCAGCTGTTTCCGTGTAATTGCTGCTGCGGCTGACGCAGTTGTTGCTGCTGCAGTGCTGCTATAATTCTCGCTGCTGCTCCTATCCTATCCCTCCTGCTGCTGCTGCTGCTGCTGCTGCTGCTGCTGCTGCTGCTGCAGGTAACAGCAGCGTTGCAGACAGGGTGTTATGTGGATTCGCGGGGCGTTGAGGTGCAGCTGCTGCTGCTGCAGCCTCTCTCGGTGACGGACCTGGCTCCTCTGGGTAGAAGCGATGTCACTCATGTTGCTGCAGGCAAGCTCTTCTTGCTGCTGCTGCTGCTGCTGGTGCTGCTGGTGCTGCTGCTCCTGCTGGTGCTGCTGGTGCTGCTGCTGCTGCTGCTGGTGCTGCTGCTGCTGCTGTAGATTCTGTTTATGCTGCTGCTGCTGCTGGTTCGGCTGCTGCTGCTGCTGCTGGTTCGGCTGCTGCTGCTGCTGCTGGTTCGGCTGCTGTTGCTGTTTTTGCTGCTGCCGCTGGTTCTGCTGCTGCTGCTAGTTATGATGATCATGCGGCTGCTGTTGCTGCTTCTGCTGCTGCACTTACTGCTGCTGCTGCTGCGCCAGATGCTGCTGCGTCTGCTGCTGCTTTCGCTGTTGCTTGCTGCTTCAGCTGCTGCTGTTGCTGCTGCTTCTATTGCTGCTGCCCTCATCCGCTGCAGCAACCTGCTGCATCAGCACAAATGCTGCTTTTCCTGTCGTTTCAACTGCTGCTGCTGCTGCTGCTGCTACTGCTACTGCTGCTGCTGCTGCTGCTGCTGCTGCTGCTGCAGGGTTCCGGCGTGCGCTGCTGGATGCTTCTCCTTTTGCTGCTTTGCTGCGGAGCGTCGCTTACACAAAAAAAATGAATTTGGCGGACGATGCGGCGCAGTGGACGGGCTGGCAGGTCCCCCAAACCCTAAACCCTAAACCCTAAACCCTAAACCCTAAACCCTAAATATTAGATATCTTGGGCGTTTTAAACCCTAAACCCTAAAACCCCAAAACACTAAACATAGTTTTTCCTCCTGCTTGCAACAACTACTTAATTCCATAGGCTCACCTAAACCCTAAACCCTAAACCCTAAACCCTAAACCCTAGTATAGTTGTGATAGAGTAACAGCTTCAGCAAGAGTGTTTGCAGCTTTTTCCGGTCATTGTTTCTGAGTTTAGGGTTTAGGGTTTAGGGTTTAGGGTTTAGGGTTTAGGGTTTAGGGTTTAGGGTCTAGGGTTTAGGNGGGTTTAGGGTTTAGGGTTTAGGGTTTAGGGTTTAGGGTCTAGGGTTTAGGGTTTAGGGTTTAGGGTTTGGTGTCTGTGGTTTCGTAGCTCTGGGTCAGAAACGAGGAAGCAAATATCATCGCTATCATCCTCAGGCGAATGTGTAGGAGCTGCTGCTGCTGCTGCTGCTGCTGCTGTTGCTGCTGCTGCTGCTGCTGCTTCGTTTGCTGCTGTTGATGGTGGTGCTGCACTTTCTGGCGCTCCGGGTAGCTGCCGGCGTTGTTACTGCTGCTATGGCGTCTGCTGCAGCTGCTGCTGCAGCTGCTGCTGCTGCTGCAGCTGCTGCTGCTGCTGCAGCTGCTGCAGCAACTGCTGCTGCTGCTGCAGCTGCTGCAGCAGCTGCTGCTGCCTCGTATGCAGAAGAGGTTTTGCGTGTTGAGTGTGTTGAGGTGTACAGACACCCCACCAACGATGGATGGATGCCAGGATATGATATTAACTTATAAAGTATCGCACGAAGACCAAAAGGGCAAGCTAAACCCTAATTTAGGGTTTAGGGTTTAGGGTTTAGGGTTTAGGGTTAACACAGTAAACCCTAATTTGTTGTATCAACCGACTAAACCCTCGTTTGTTTAAGCTTTCTAAACCCTAATAGCTAGCTAGCTATGAATCGTGTTAAGGGTTTAGGGTTTAGGGTTTAGGGTTTAGGGTTTAGTGTGTGTGCAGAGTTTAAGATGAAGGAGGGGGACTTGCTGCGTGAGGCAGAGTTTATAGCCGACTCGATCGCCCCCGAGGGTTTGTGCAGCAGCAGCAGCAAGGAGCTGCTGCAGGCGAAGCTGGATTCGCTGCTGCTGACGGATGAGGCCTACGGCTGGCTCTACATGAACTTCAGGCTCACAGTAAGCTACCCAACAAACAGCTAGCCAGCTAGCTAGCTAGCTAGCTACCTAGCTAGCTCGCTACCTAGCTAGCTAGCTNCTAGCTAGCTAGCTGGCTCGCTAGTTCGTTAGTTAGTTAGCTGGCTAGCTAGCTAGCTACATAGAGGTAGAGAAAGCTAGCAATATAGATATAGCTCAGCCCCGCGGACGAACAGCTGGAACTGCTGCTAGGGTTTAGGGTTTAGCGGGTCCTGTATACACTAAACCCTAAACCCTAAACCCTAAACCCTCCAGTGTTTGTCTGTATGCAGCCCAAGTGGATTGGCCCGGCGAAGGTTTTCCTTAAGTCCCTCCTCGCAATCTTACAAAAAGAAGGGGTCCTGGCAGACGACGGTAAACCCTAAACCCTAAACCCTAAACCCTCAGCCCTAAACCCTAAGGTGTAGTGTGCGGGGAGTGAGCATAACATATAACTCGCTTCTCAATTCTGCATGAGGGTTTAGGGTTTAGGGTTTAGGGTCTGTTATAAGAGCTTGCGGTCGCCTCAATCCCCAAACCCTAAACCCTAACCCCCAAACCCTAAACCCTAAACCCTAAACCCTGGTGGTTTATGCAGATCTGCTAGACGCCGTGGGGCCGTCTGTGGCTGTGGTGGAGGACCCTATGGAGGTTGCGTATGAGATAATTAGGCAAGGAGAAGGTAAACCCTAAACCCTAAACCCTAAACCCTAAACCCTAACCCGAGCATGGCTTGCTTCTCCCCTGCTTCGTCAGTTGCAGCGAAAGACGTTTGCTTGAGGCTCTTTCTCTTTTTCTTTTTCTTTTTTTTTCTTTTTTTTCTTTCTTTATCTCTTTCTTTATCTCTATCTTTCTCTCTTTTTTTACTTTTTCTTTTTTTCTTTTTGTCTTCATTTTTTTCTCTCTTTCCTTTTTAGTTTCTTTCTTTCTCTCTTTCTCTCTCTCTTTCTCTTTCTCTCTTTCTCTCCTCTCTTTCTCTCGTCCTCTCACTCTCTCTCTGCACACACACACACACACACACACACACACACACACACATATATATATATATATATANATATATATATATATATATATATATATATATATATATATATATATATATATATATATATATATATAAATGTGTATGTATATTAGGTTTGGAGGGTGTGGTGGACATATCTGTGGAGAAGATGAATATAAATTATTTGGCTTTTAGTGATGAGGGAGCTGTCGATACACTGCAGAGAGAAAAGTTAATAATATTAAACAAATGGATACAAAGAGTTTCATCATATTTATCTTTTTCTATCGATCAAGGAATTCTACATAATAAATTTAAATTGCAAGATCTCG